CAGCCCATCCCTATCAAAGACCAGGAATGGTGAACAGCTAAAATTAAAACAAGGCATTAAAGGGCCAGGCCTCCAACAGGGCCTAGGATTGGAGCTGGTGCAAGCTCTGTTCACAATGGAGTGTCTCTCCTTCAAACACCTGGATTCCTTTTTTTTTTTTTTTTTGTACACTGGTTCATAAGTTTTTTTTTTCAATTTTCATTTTTTTTTTTTTTTGTACACACAATCCAGAGATCTGATGGTCAAGGATCATTTTCTTTCTTTCTTTCTTAAACCATGCATTTTCAATGACCTCCTCTGCATGGGAAGTTGGAAGCTAAATAAGGAAGACCGAAGAAGAACCAATACATTGGGATGGTGGGGAAGACCACTGAAAGTGGCGTGACCGAGTTATCCAGCGATAACTTCCAACACGTTAGTATCTGCCACGTTAACAAGCCTTTTTCCATCTATGAGATCTTCTGTCACAAAACACTTGTTGACTTCAGAATTGAAAAGCGTCTCGTCTCAGAAAATGGCCAGGACCTAATTCCCACCAGTCATCAATTGCTGTGATGCAAAGCAAGCTGACAATGGAAGGGCTTTGAACATCTTTTAAATGAATATATTATCAAAAAATGTTCAAATAAATAAAATTAATATATTGTCTCAAAATGGGAGGATTTTAAAGCTGGGGCGGGGGGAGTGTGGACTTCCTTGGGTCTAATCCTTTAATTTTAAAAACCAGAAAGTCAAAGGGCAAAGGAATAAAATAACATGCTCATAGTTACTCAGCCCACTACTATTACTAGCATTTTGAGAGAGGAGACATATACAGAAAACAATAACAACAAAACTATAACGCAAGGGTGCAAGGAGAAAGATATAAGTAGGAATGATATCTACAGCTCCTGTGTCTATGGACAGTAGAGTCCACTGGGCTGATTCCTAACTCTCTTTGCAGATCAAACCAGGATGGCCAAGCCTCTGTGCCAGGTACCATCTATTCCCATGTCTACTGGTACCCACCAGACAAATAGGGACCCTTACCCGTTGCCCATGCCTTCCTTTTTCTCCCTTAGGGCCTTGGATGTAGCTATCAGTTCCAGGATCCCCCTAAGAAAAGAAAAGATTGGTTATTTCAAGTGAATGGCAAAGAAAAGAAAAGAAATTACAGGGAAAAGGGGTGTTTAAAGGGAAGGAACGCCAAGAAACCTTTCCATTGCATGGGGTGGGTGTGCTTAGCAATTGCAAACACTCAATGCAATTAAAATGTCAGTCCCTCTTAGAACCCAGATTCTTGGAGAAGGATATAGATAGCAGTCCTACCCCCTGAGCCATGAGACAAGATGAAGTGGATGGTGCCTGGCAGACAGTACTAAACATTTTGATCAAGGATCTAATAGATAGATCCTAATCATAAGGAAGAAAAAATTGTGAAACAGAACTTCAAAATTATTATTGGAACACAGACTTCCTGTATGCTGTGAGACTGGGGGTGTTCCAAATAGCTCTTAAGTTTGAACTGAATCTATCACATAAAGCCATCTTTAAACTAAACCATTACTTAGTCCCTTTAAGAATGTCTACCTTGGTCATGGCACTCAATAATTATTTAGATGGGATTAAATGGACAACAGGAACTCTAAGGGTCAGAGAGTCTAGGTTATCAATGCTAGAATAATAGGGCCCCAGATGGGGAGAATGGTGACAGACTACTTAACCGTTGCCAATGAACTGAGTATGTAAAACTTGCTGAGTGGGGATGCTTTGTTGTGCATATTTTCACCAAACAACAACTAGTTTCGCTGTCAGGTGGGTTTTCCTCTCAAGCCTCCTTATCTGGGTGGAGATAGGCTGAACAGTTGCCTCACTGAGGAATAACTAATTGTTCTTATTGTTCTGTGTGTCAGGCAAATACGCACAGCGTCCTGGAATGAAACCCTCAGAAATCACCACTCACAGGCTCTCCCCTCAAGCCTTGAGATCCACGCTCGCCAGGTTGCCCAGGGGGTCCCACCAAGCCCTGAAATCACGAAGGGGGAAAAAACAAACATCATGTTTTGTTTTGTTGTTGTTAATCACCTGGGCCTAGAAGCAAGAGAACATTAAGAGGGAAGATGCGAATCAAGACAAAAGAGCAGCTTAGTCCTTGGATTGTAAAGCATTCACTGACAGAGCAAACCATTCATGCACCTGAGTTTTGCCCATCCCATTATCCTGTAAGCTGTGTTCAAAATCTCAACAGTTTCTGCGACATTTTTCCTGAAAACAAAATTACACAGCCACACACTGTTCTCTTAAATCAGTCAACACAAAAAATGAGGTTTGAGCAAAACTGCTTTCACAAAAAAATTCACTGTGACCCAAGAGAACCTTTTTCAGGCGACGCCACTGGGTGCACTAACTCATAGCGAGTTGCTGGATGCTCCCCTAGTGGGAAAATGTCTGCTAGGAAAACTCCACTGTGCCCAGTGCAATTCCAGTTTTGTTTTGTTTGAGGGGGAGGGGGGCACTCCCTTGTGCAATAGTGGAAAAAGTCCTAAGCATGGCCTCAAATGGATCCCCACTTGCCCACCCGGATTTCCTACTGATTCCTTATGCTTTTGTATTTCATCCCTCCATACCTGCTGAATTAGAACCCTTATTTCTCCAAACCAAACTTGGATTCTCTTAACTTTAAACCTTTCTTTGTGTCTTTTCTTTAGCCTAGCAGGTCCTCTCTCTCTCTCCCCAGGCCCTTAGACAAAGGTCGAAGTGAAAAATGCCTTCACTTTGTGCTCAAGAATGTGTGAATCTTCTCCACCCTCCTGTAACCTCTTCAAATGCCATAAGGCTTTAGTACAGATGGCTGCTCTCTTGCCTCTTCCTGCCTCCCTCATCACGTGGTTGACTGTTATTCATCCTCTAGGTTCAGCCATACCTTCACTCCTGGATGAAGTCTTCCTGACCGCACAGGCTGGAGGAGATGCCCCACACTTACCCCTCACCACATGATCATCTCAGAGGGACTCTGACATCTATTTTCATGACTATTTCATTAATGTTTGGCTCTCTATATACAAGTTAGTTCTGAGATATAGAACCCATGCCTGCTTTGTTCCTCACTCTAGAAGCATGCCTGGATTGTTACAAATGCTCAGTAAGTGTTAAATGTTTGATCAAATGAAGAAAAGCCAGTCTATTCTTTATCATTTCCAAGTCACCATGCACCCACTGACTCTTTATTTGCCCCATTCTTACAGCCTCTATCCTATATTGTCCAGTAGTATCGTTTTTCTGCCATGAATTCTGTCTTCAGTACCAAGTGGGCTTTCTGTTGGTCATAACACTGTCTGATGGATTTTTGAACTCTGTGTGTGTGAGACACAGGTAGGACATGAACGTTCAACAAACACTTGACAGATGTTTCTTAAACTGAACTAACTTTAAATGAAACTGAAGGTTCTCTAGTCTTGAGGAGACCCGGTGTCTTCCATTTTCTTCAAACTTGGATCCAAAAACTGTAGTTTGGAAATTAAACCTCACTAAAGGATCGTGTCTTCTGACTCCCTTTCTTTCACTTATCAGGAAATCAATCCACAGCACTAAGTGTGTATCTGTGGAGAGAAATACACTGCTTTTAATCCACAAAAGGCTCGATGATGTAGAAGTAAAAAAATGCACTTCCTGTGGTGTCCTGGTGACTGTCGGGTAAATGTTACACTGCTAATTGTAAAGCTGGTGGTTCAAACCCACCAGCTTCTCTGAAGGAAAAAGAGGAGGCTGTCTGCTCCTGTAAAGATTTATAGCCTCAGAAACCCTACTCAGGGTAGCCATGAGTTGGAATCTACTCAATGTCAGTGGGTATGCCAAAAGGGAGAGGCTTCGTAGCATCATAGCTTCAATAATGGACTCAAACATAGTAATGATTATGGGGACTGTACACATTTTGGAAGCAGTTTATTATAGGTAGGATCACTATAAATCAGAACTGATTTGGTAGCACCTAACAATAACATCCAATCGAATCCAATCAATCACCAGAAGCTGATACATCCATATATAGTACATTGTTGAGAAGGGGTTTTCAGCCATGGTTGGATTTAGTAGAAAAGAAGCCTGTATTCAATGGATAGATAAAAGCTGTGCCATGCACACAAGAAGAAGTCGCAGTACATGGGCCAGCTACCCGTCTTCTCTAACATAAAAATAGAATTACAAGCGTGAGGCAGGGTATGATTATTGTCAAGCAGATCATGCAAATAATGTAAGTTATAGAGCCCTAGAGCAGGGAGACATCACTACAGACTGACATGAGGAGGAAAACAGGCCTGAACAAGGAAGAAACGTGATAGTCAAGTAACCACTGAGGATGGAGGTCAGAGAAAGGCATTCCAGAACAGGCACCCCTCATGAGCAAAGACGCAGGGGTGGGTGTGCTGAGGGCAGAAGGCATGTTCAGGGAACGATGAGCAGTGAACAATGACTAGGAAGGTGTTTCTTGAGATTAGTGAAGGATGTGGTGGAAAGGGCTCTGGATATGAGACCAAATCATTGGTGACAGGGAGTC